TGTTGGCTGCATTCACCTTACAAAGGGGGCTCTGGTTCAGCACATTTCAGCAATTGATGCATTTGCAGCTAATCTACATTTAATGAATAACATTGTGCATACACAGTGCCAGAAAGGTTTTTCTTTTTTATTGCCAGTACATAACTTACAGGCAAATATACGACAACATCAGAAAAACAAAACCATAAACAAAGAATAAAGATAGACTAACATACAAGCAGCTGGACTTATCTATCTTTCCATTATCTATTCACATTCTATCCATGTATAGAGTAACAAGAGTCCATCTCCTTATAAACAAAGGCAGCTTCAGCTGTAGAATAGCAGTCATATTTTTAATAATTTGGACATGTCTAATTTTCTGCATCCATTCATATATTGTAGGAGGGTCAGCCTGCACCCAGTGGATGGTTATCATTTTCCTAACAGTCATCCAAAGGATCTGTAGAATATAGCATTGGTCTTTGTTTAAATTTTGTTCTGTCATGTTGTCCAATAAGAACAAGGCATGGTCCAAAGGTAAAAGGTAATTTTTTCCAAATTGTTTTTGATGTTTCTCCAGAAAGTCTGTATTTTCGGGCAATCCCAGAATATATGGTTATGGTCCCCCACCATCCCACAATCTCTTTAACACTTGTTATTACGTTTGTTTTTAAAAACGGCGGCTCTTAAAGGGTTCCAAAAAACCCCATCTTTACTTTCCAATCATATTCCTTCCACAGTTGGCTCCCCATCCCCCTATGACATTCAGAGCATATATCCTCCCACTTATCATCCTCTATGGCGACATTGAGCTCAATTTCCCATTCTCTTTTAATATGTAGAGTGTTATAGGATGTGTCCACCATTAGCTTTTTATCGATGAGAGACACTTGATGTTTTGTTGTTTGGACTTGTTGTAGTATATGTATGAAATGCATTTCAATATGTTGGGATCTGGAGAAGTTCCACCTTACTCCAGCAGAGTCCGCCGTGGATCCTCCTGAGCTGAGCCTTCGACACACCTGAGGCGCATCTCATCATCAGAGGATCCTGCAGTATTTAACCAGCCTTCAGACCTTGCCTCAACGCCGCAGTGTTTATGCAGTTTGGTTAGCACCTGAGCCTAGCATCTTCTGAGTACCTTCATTGCTTCTGTTCCCTGGTTGGATTCTAATCCCTCTTTGTCTCTGCTTACAGGAATCCTGTTTTCCCTTGTAAGCTCTCAATGAGCTTAACCTGCCGAGCCTGCCCTCTGAGCCAAACCTGAAGACTCTTCTCTGGATTCCCATGCAGCTCTGGACTAAGAGCTGGAAACCCAAAGCCAAGGTCTGCCCTCACGCTAGAAGTAAGACGCCGAAGCGGTTACTGAACTCTGCTGAACTAAACAATCCCTGGACCCAAAAGTTCCTCTCTCGAAGCCAAACCCGGACTCCTCAAGGTATAAATCAGAAACTCTCAAACTCAAACTCATCTGCTCCCAAGCTAACTGAACTGTCATCCTCACAGACTCCAGTGAACCTGCCCCCAGGCCTGAACCAGTTCCTGTGTTTATTCCATGTGCTTGTGCTCAATAAAACTTGTTAAACTTTTCATCTGTTTCCGTGGTGTTCTGCATACTGGGCTTTTCTGAAACCCATCATGACAGAATATTGGTGGGGCTTTGCTTGATAATGTTCCAGTCAGTGTCTTTTGTGATGTAGTGTCTGATTTGCAGATATCTGTAGAAATCACTTTGGGTATAAACCAAATTGATCCTGAAATTGTGAAAATTATTTAAATACATTTCTTTCAAATAGCTGATTCACTATTTCTAACCCACTTTCAGATCACCTTCTATAGACCCTGTTAACTATAGATGGGAGAAACTATATTTCCCAATATGGGTATGGCCCCTGAAAAAGCCACCCTTCCCCTTAGTTGCTTTTAGACTATATTCCACACTGGAAGTGTGTGTTAAATACATATGTTGCTTATTTTGACTAAGAAATGGCAGAGTACGCTGATGAAGGTTCTCAGTCATCCAGGTCATAGTCATTCCGTAAAAATTCAAAAAATATCCACTGGACTTGGTTTTCAAGATTTGAAGATGGTAACCGATGATCGGTTCATCCGATCAACCGATCATCGGTTACCATTGCATGTTTCCAAGCAATACAAGGCCTTGTCCATATAAGACTCAAACTCACTGCGGATGCAGACATTTGAATTGAGAAAGCTTCCTGGAGAGGTGGCGAAACGTCTTCAAATCTTGAAAACGAAGTCCAGTGGATATTTTTTGAATTTTTACGAAATGGCAGAGTATTTAATGGTATTCCTGGTAGAGAATTTCTTTCAGTAGACACCTATCCAATCTCTCTATCACTTGCTACCAAAGCTACCACTGCTGTGAGTTGGGGTGCCCAGTAGTACATTTTGAAGTTAGGTAAACTTACTTGCCATTAACATTTTCAATCTTATTCTTGGTCTTCTATTTCTCCAGATAAATCTTAATAAATGCTTTTTAAGCAACTTAAATGTGGACTGTGGAATGGATAAGGACTGAAAGAGGAAAAGTAGCCTTGGTAGAAGGTTCATTCTCACCTTCTCTACCCTACCAAACAGTGAAAGTGGTAACATATCCCATCTGCCTATGTCTACATTGATTTCTTTTATCAGTATTTTCATAGTTTACTGTAGATAGTTGCTCGGAACTTGGAGTGAGCATAACGCCCAGGTAGCAAAATCCCTGTTTGGGTCTTCTAAAATAGACTCTATCATCTATATGGGAGGGCCGTTTGCCCTTTATCATCATGGCCTCAGATTTGTCTGTATTGAGTTTGTAGCCTGAGACAGCACTGTATTCGCTAAGGCTATTCAGTAGTGCTGGGATAGAGGTGCTAGGGTTCTCTACAAATAATAATGAAAGGTTTTCTATCATATCAAAAACTTTCAAGTTTAACCGTTGCTCGGGTCAAAGACCCTCTACTCTCTGCTCCTCGTTATGATTCTGGTGATTCTTAGAGTTTTCAGGTTATGTGTTTTCTAGGATCAATGGCCAGTTTAATTGACATGGCAGCACATAGAGCAGGTCAGAATGCTGCGTTTTGACCCAACTTTGCACAAGATAAACAATGAACCACAAAACGTGATCAAGATGACAAATAGATATATTTTCGGTAACAGGTAACATTTAACAGCTATCTTTCAACAGTTATCTACTGTTGGATAACATTTTCAAATTTCTAAATGGACTTAGAACAAGCATTTCTTTTATTTCATTTTTACTGTCTCTATGCAAAGATAAATTAAAGAATATAGTGGAGGATTTTCAAGAATTTATTAAAAGACCCGCCCTCTCCACTTTAAAAAATGCACATGCACAACCCTGTATCCCGAGAGGGTACGCCTAATTTAACGCGCGTGAGAGCATGCATGAGCCCATTTCTCCTCGTGCACACTCTGTTTAAAAGTTGCTGTTTGCATCGATCATACAAGCTTATTTTCCAAAAGAAGATTTGCAATTTTTCCGCTATGTTAGAGTCACCACCGGTAAGTGAAAATGGATGACCTTACGTAAACCAATCACCAGAATGATTGACAGTTAGGAGGACCACTTATTTAGATGATCCACCCGGAAAAAGAACATCCTCCACTAAACCTTTAATTTATACCAAGCTAAAGAAAATAAGCTAGGATCAGCTTAAACACCACATGCTGAACCAAGCTAGACTAAGCCATGCATGGCTAAGTAAAGCAGGAAACTTGAGCCAAGTTAATGTTGACTAAAGTAGGTGATTCAAATCCTCTTTGGTCACCCTTTGGTTTAAAATAATGTTTTAAATTATTAACATTCAGTCACTTTAATATCAATGGTTTAAACAGTCTCAGTTTCTTGTAAGCCTATGGTTTCTAAAGATAAGATCTCATAGGAATTATGTTTTTTGGTGTTTTTAAAAAGGATCAAACTTCCTGTAAATGTTACCTGGAGATGTGGTGAAAATAAACTAAATGTTTTAACAAAGTTCAACTTTATTTCATTAACCAATTCTATCATTTTACACCAAAGACAAACTGAAAATGTTTCAGATTGAGATTAAAACACTGACTTTATTTCACAGTGTGAGAGTAATACACAAAACAATTTTCAGATATAGATGATACAGATATGACCTGGAATTTGCTGCTCTGTTTATCCATAATAACACATTTACCTTTAAAATGATCTTTTCTTCTGATCAGATCTAATTAGTGTGATGAACGCACAGGGCAGTGGGAACAAACATCACTGCAGCTGTAATGTTGGACCAGCAGCTCTCAGCCTGCAGCTGCAACCTTCCATTGATGGATCCCTTGATTTATATCAACTCTTAACTTGAAAGAGAGCTGCAGGCTAAAAATAGTCATTGCTGCTGAAAAAAGGCACAGAAAAAAGAAACAGTTTTCTTACTTCTTACCTGAAACTGATCTGAATGTTACTTTCAGATAATAAAAACTGCCATGACTTAAAATATAATCATTAAAATACAGATATTATAGGCTAAGAGTGAAGACATTTAGTAGACTAGGAGTTCTTGATTCTATTTAGATTCTATTTTATTGGAGAATGAATAGAAATGCACCATGTGCCATGTTTTATTTCTAGTAATCTGCAGTATCTTTAACTTTATTTTTTATAAACATCACTGACTGCCATTCTGCAGTTACAACCTGCACTGAAGAGCGTTGAATAATGAGAAATCTGATCATACAGATTTATTTAAAAGTTTCCAACACTAATAAGGCTGGATCAAGCTGGGAACTGTACCATTTTGATTTCCATCCATCCATTATCTGTCACGCTTATCCCAAACGGGGTTGCGAGGGGTGCCGGTGTCTATCTCCAGCTGTCTACAGGCGAGAGGCAGGATACACCCTGGACAGGTCACCAGTCCATCGCAGGGCAACACAGAGACAAACAACCATTCACACACACACTCACACCTAAGGAGAGTTTAGAGAAGCCAATTAACCTAACAGTCATGTTTTTGGACTGTGAGAGGAAGCCGGAGTACCTGGGGAGAACCCAGGCATGCTCAGGGAGAACATGCAAACTCCATGCAGAGGGACCCCGGGCCGGTAATCAAATCCGGAACCTTCTTTTTCTTCTAATCACTGAAATTTTTTTAAATAAAATTCAAAAGGTTTGCCTTAGTGTTTTTATCTTAGTGACAAGCTGCTGGTATTTAGCAGTTTTTACCCTTTTCTCTATATAAAACAGCTTCAATCCTAGAGTTTAGACTTCTTTTTACATCTGAATGATTCATAGGAGTTGAAAAAAAGCAACCGGTGAACAAAGAAGGAATCTGATGAACCTTTAGGTCAGCAGAGGAATCCATCACAACCAGTTTAAAGGATGATAACTAGACTGTCTTCTTAAACAAATTAGGCCTTTTTGTTAAATCACTTGCATCAATATAATAACTATAACATTTTCTTAAACATTCATGTCTCTAATAGATTCCTGTTGTTCCCCTTAATCAAATGAGTCACCCTTGATGAGAACAGGGCTGGAATATGAAGCAGATGAAAGGTTTCTGATATTTGTTGCTCTAAAGAAGGAAATTCATCCTCTCTGTGTGAGCTGAAACACTAATCCGTTCCCTTTGTGTTCCCTACATGGGCTTTTAGTTCCTGGTTCTGATCACCAGGAATCCACAGCAGCAGCAGGTCACCAGTCAGTGATGAGTCCACCGGTTCTCCTGGAGGTCGATGGCGGCTGGAGATCCTGTAACCCAAATGGAGCTGGGACTCTGATGTGGTCCAGAGAAGAAGAGGTCCACCGGGTCTCACCGTCAGAGGCGTGACTCACAGGGCAGAGGTCTGAACGCCACCTCCAGGTTCTCCTCCATGATGATGTCAAAGCGGCACATCGCTGGCCTGTTGGAGAAGCGGTTCTAATGTTTAAAACAGCATCTTCTAAACCCACCGATCGGAACAGATTCTATTTTACTTATAGATATATTGTTAAAATATTTGAAGATGTATTAAAAGCAATTTTATCTGCCATCTCACATCCTTTCATTTTAATATGGGTTGGTAGCCATAGCAACCCATACTTTGTATTCTGAATAATGTAGTATTTCTTGCTTTCAGAGGGAAGTTCAGTTAAAACACTAACCCTATGATACAGAATTAGAATCTGGGTATATAATTGCTTGAAATGGTTTTATATCTTCCACCCACGGAACAGCTGATAAAACAAAAATTTTTGCAATTTACAGGAAATCCTTTTGGTGATTATTTCTGTTAAAAGTTCTAAAGCAACAAAATCTGAATTTACTGATAAATGCGAAGATATCCTTGTATGGTATATATCTGAATCAAGGGCTGCAACTAGCGATTATTTTGCAAATCGATTAATCTGTAGATTATTTTTTTAGATTAATCGATTAATAATCAGATAGCTAAAGATTAAAGAAGTCTTTTTATGAAATCAAACCAGGTGAAACTCAAACTTTTTCACTTGAGGAGTTCGGAAAGGAGCATATGGACAAAATAGTTTTTAAAATCTTGAACACTGAAAAAAATAGAAATCTAGATGAGTCATTTTTTTCTTAAACTAAGTTACATTTTCTTGGATTAAGGAGGTGAAACAGACATTTTGCCAATGGAACAAGAGAATTTACACTTAAAATAAGAAAACACAATTGCATTGTCTTATTTCAACTGCATATTATCTAATTATCTTATTTTAAGAGTAAAAATATTCATTCCATTGGTAAACTATGTCATTTACCTTCTCAAATTAAGGATAAATTCACTTAATTTAAGAAATTTTTACTTATTTCGACATCATTTTTCCAGTAAATGCAAAATGTTGGACTTCTTTTTTTACAATTTCAGTATAACTACTGCTCTAAGTGGGTCACTCTGACAGCTAAAGGCATGTTTTAGAGTCTCTATACTCCATTTAACAATCCATTACTATATTGGTTGACGATTATTTGAATAATTAATTAATCATGATTAATTCGATTAATTGTTTCAGCCCTAGTTTTACCCTTCATCTTTTCTTGTAGGTTTTGTAGGTAAGGGGCTTTAAATGTCTAAAGAGAGAGACTGAGGGTGCCTCAGGTGACCTGTCAGGACGCTCCAGAGGCGTGAAGCGAATCCTCAGCAGCCTGATCTTGTAACGAGGGCCGATGATGTTCCCGGTGTTGATCCGCATGGAGATCTTCTGGATGGGCTGCAGGTCCTCATCGAACTGGGCCAGCAGTCGAGTGGAGGTGTACTGTTCGAACCGCAGCAGCTTACTGCCAGACAGGGTCACAGTTAGATTCAAACACCTTTTTCCTCCATTATTGGGAATCCGATCACACAACTAACAAAGTCAGGGTCTGTTAAAAGCTTAAAAACTAATCTTGCTTTGTTTAAGTCTTGTCATGTGGATCAACCCTTTTATTTGAAGTCATTTTATGTCTCAATGTCTTTAAACATTTGAAAACAAAATAAGTAAAAATGTCTTAAATTAAGTGTTTACCCTTAATCTGAATAGGTAAATGAGATAGTTTGCCAATGGAATGAGTATTTCTTTCTCTTAAAATAAGATAATTAGATAATATGCACTTGAAATAAGACAATGCAATTGTATTTTCTTATTTTAAGTTAAATTTGTCTTGTTCCATTAGCAAAATGTCTGTTTTACCTCCCCAATCCAAGAACAAATGCACTTATTTTAAGAAAAAATTACTTATCTGGATTTCAATTTTTTCCAGTGAACATCTGAGTTACTAATAGGAGGTTAAGCCAAAAAACAAAATCAAAGTCTAAAGAAAAGCATTAAACTAATGTAAGACATCCTGATTGACTGTAGATATGGAGCACTTTAAGGAGGTCTGCTTGGAAGAGAACTATAACTAACATGAAGCTGGATCAGGACTTCTGCAGAGCTATGAACTTTAGACCTATCGCAGTAGCCATTAAAGTTTTCCCCACTTTCCTTTTTTAAACATCAACCTTTGTACTAAAATATTCTTTCTGTTCATGATTTGTGAACATTAAGATCTAAAGAGAAGCCCCATCTCTTGGTCAGATGCTGTAATTCAGGGAAAGGGTGGAGTCAGAGTAAAAAATATGCACACTCAGGAGAAGGAGGGGGTCACTCCAGTGGCTGGAAGTTTGCTGCCAGTCGGCTGGAGTTTGACTGGGAAGAACCATTTTGAATGGCTGCTACTGTAAACCTGCTTCCTGTACGTCTAACATTGTAAGTGAAATGAATCAGACTCACTGGTCTATCCGGGCCTCTGTGAAGTTCCTGCCACTGTGCAGATGGATGTAGACGACCCCCCATCTCAGGTACTGGTTCCAAGTCACCATGTCCACTCTGTAGCTCAGCTCTGCCACACACAGGACACAGAGTATTAGCAGTCAACCATAGAAAACCAGCCGGCTCCACAGTGGGGCTTTTGCTCTTTTCATTGCAGTTGGAGTTAAAATTTTTCAGGACTCACTCTGGTAGGGCAGGGAGGCGGTGGTGCTGAAGAATACTTTGGTCTGTCCAAGCTGCACTAGAGCATCTCTCCACTGGCTAAGGTTGTAGCCTGCAGGTAAAAATCAGGGTTAGTTTTAGAGAAGATCTGGACATATTTAACCGTCTTATAAAAATTGAATTCTTGGCCAAGAATGTATGCATCTATTTGATTTTTTTCCCAAAAGCCTCCCAGTGGACCTTTGTATGTCATGGTCTGCAAATGTTTCTGTGTCGTGTTTGGTCTAGGACAGAAGTCACGGATTAGCGGACCGCAGTCCGGATCCGGACCCAACCTGATTTAGAATATTTATAAATTACTGCATGCTATAAGATGACAGTGTCTAACTTCACTTGCACCGCTTCTCATGTTATTATGGTAAAGCCTTCCAGAGCGTCCGGCACCAGGCTGCAGGTGATAAAAATGATCCAATGAGCTGCTGTCAGTCTGGTTTGCCTCTGCTGCTACTTTTAGACACAGCAGGCAAACCTGTGGCAAGCCGGGCGATGGGAAAGAAGGAGAAGATGATGAGAAAAAGAGAGCAGAGAAAGTGTGGACTGCTGGAAGAACTGTGGTGAACTGGTGAAAGAAAAGTGAAATGGTGCTCAAAGATGATCCTGAACGTTTAGAGGATGTTTGGCTCAACCTGCTGCTGTGAAGCAGGATTCTCCACCATGAACAGAATCAAAAATAAACATGGATCCAGGCTCAGAATGAGCTCCTTGATATGTGCTTTAGAATGACTTTGTCCCCATTCAAACCAGGTTTAAAGCCTTGCAGGGCAGCATAAAGCCCACTGCCAACATTAAGACAGAAAATAGAAAGAAAGAAATAACAAATGATCAGTTCAGGTATTTTATACAATCTATAAATCAGGAAATTGTCTATATACCAAACTGAAAGATGGCTGTTCTCTACTTCAAAAACACTTTAGATTTTAAAAAGAAAAAAGTTCTATATTTCATCCTCTACATCCATGCATAAAAAACTCATTTTATTTCAGTGTTAAATTCTGTTTAAAGTAACAGATCATTAAAAATGTCTCCGGACCTTTACTGGTTGATGATTTTCTTTTTTCGGACCCTGCTGATTTTTAATTGGTTACCCCTGGTCTAGGATAACATCTCGTTCCTTACCTGTAATCCAATTTTTCTACTTCTGTGTTTGTTTATTTTTTACTTTGTTTTAAAGCCTGAAAACCACATGAGAATAGACTCTGTAACCTAGAACTATGGAGTATGGAGAGCCGCGCTATTCAAAATCAAATAAATCTGGTAAATAAATAATAATAATAAAGTAAATAAATAAATGTTGACATAGATCAAAAATAAATGCAAGATAAAAATGCTTAAAATATGTATTTAGTTTTGGGTCAATTCTTTATTTCATAGAATATGGATTAATAATTGATCCATAACAGCATTTATTGAAATATTTATTTATCTAATTTTGAAATAAAAATCTCTCTATATAGGACAGGGTCCTTTCAAAATATGTAAAAAAAAAAAAACAAAAAAAAAAAAAAACAGAAAATAAATAAACTTTTAGAAGGCTTTTTCTAGTTTTATCACTATTCAGTTATGAACATGTTTGTTTATAGTAAGAATATTAACTTTTGACTTTTATTCATATTGAATAGCAAGTGATTTAACAAACTGTTGATAATGGGAACAGAAAACAAAAATCAAACCCCTCAGGAGGGTGGAACTTATTGTCTGTTAGGGCCTTATGAATGTCATTGTGTGTTTTGAGTGTTTTAAAGTTAAAAGAAAAAAAACACGTATGTTATTGCAAAAGGGAAAAGCATTTCAGAACCCAGTTCCAAGTTGGGATGATCTTTATTTACATAAATAGCCTGTTTTTCACACCCAAAGATTTTCCATGTTAATTTATTCTTACAAGTTATATTTAAAAAAAATGTTTTAATATATATTTCATTATTAATAATATATATAAAAAAATCTTTAACCACTTATTTCCATTTTTCTTTCTTCATTTTTCTCCCATTTCTCTGAGGCCCCCTATTACCCCAACTTAATAAAAAACACTAACCTATAAAATTTTAGCAATAAAACCATAACCTCTAGTCAGGAGCGGTTTCAAAGGATAGGAGAGAAAGCTTTTGGTTAAAGATAAAGCTGAAGAATGATCCAGACTGACAGCTGAACCAAGAGCTGCTTCCATTTCAGATGTTTAGGATGTTTCACTACAGAGAGGGAAGTCTACACAGATCATTTTAGGCCTGTTCGAGAATATCTAACTAGTGTCCATTTTCAGCCAAAAAATAAAACAACAAAATGCTTGTTTTTGGCTTTTTTTTGCTTGGACCACATTTTGATCTAGCTAGACTTAAAAATGCTTCCTTAGTTTATAAAAAAAAAAAAAAGCTAAACCTTGTCCTCCATGTTTAGACATGAAAAGTCAATTTATTAGAGCTGCCTTTCCTATCAATTACATGATAATATTAAGACTGGCGGAAAGCTTTGGAGTGGCGGCCTAGTGGTTAGGGCATAGAGCATGGAATCCTGAGGTTCTGAGTTCAAGCCTCACTCCCACAGACTGCCACTATGGGTCCCTGAGCAAGACCCTTAACTCCACTGTGCTCCACAGGTGCCGCACAATGGCAGCCTATGGCTCCCCAAGGGATGGGTTAAATGCAGATGTAGATTTCTCCCATTTGAGATCAATAAAGTTCAATTATCATTATTAGGCTGATATTTTTTATGTTCCTTTTTATTTGATCACACTTCATTTCTCAGCCATCACCAGTCAGTCGGGGATTTATGTTGGTTTGGACGTACCGAGCACAGGACAGGAGGCAGGTTTGAAGGCCTCACACTGCAGACACTGTCCGTCCAGGAAGCGGCTGTATGAGGAGCAGGGGTACCCAGTGAGGTGGCAGGTTCGGTTCAGGGAGCACAGGTACAGAAACACAGAGCGCTGGTGGTCGCACACAAAGTAAGATTTACCTGCAGGAGGAGGAGATGGAACTGAGCTGTGCAGAAAAAAAACTTGGTAACTGTGTAAGGATGGATGTTGGAGCTGAGAGGTGATTACCTGAGAAGATGGTTTTGGGGCATCCTGGTTGGTCGGTTCCACCGTTGGCGTAGAAATCAATGTGACCATGAGCTCCTCGGAGTCCGAAAGCTGTTAAAGGAAAAACTGCTCTTCACATGATCGCCTCACTTAAGGATGTACCTACCACTTAATATGCATTTTATTAAAAAATTAACAACAACAGCTTAATATTTTTCTTTTTCCAAAAAAGTTAAAAACAATCCAGTGGACTTTGTTTCCAAGTTTGAAGATGTTTCGCTTCCCATCATTTTTCAATTCAAAATGTCAGAAATAGCATTGACTTTGAGGATTTATACAGTAGCCCAACAAAGCCTTGTTTTTGTTTTGAAAACATGCAAATTGAAACAATGTTTTCTATGTTTTCTAAACAAAAACAAGGTAGTTTTTTTTTACTTTTTTGGAATGACTATGATCTGCATGACTGAGAATCTTCACCAGTTTATTTCTATTTTCTGTCATAGGATCTAAGCACAGAAAAACTCTCCTTCAATAAGAAGAGCAAACTGTCAGAATCTGGACTCACAGTTCATGTCGGTGTGCAGAACGTCCACAAACATGGCGTCAGAGGGGTCCAGCCTCCCCTCTGGTGTGGCGCTGGTGAACATCGGCCCAGCTGGGTCCAGACCTGTAACACAGAATCATCTGATCATCTGAAACGTACAGTAGCTCTCCTGCATATCAGACATTTACTTAGAATAGGAACTTATGGTGAGACATTTTTTCCAATATTATAAAAAACAAAGAAAGGACATTTTGAAGTTTTAAAAATTTGAACCCAAGAAAAAATCATCTATAAAAAGATTTTAAGACCAATTTCTATTGTAATGCATAAATACATGCACAATAGGGTTTAATTTTATAGATTTGATCCTCTACATCCATGCAGAGCAAACTGATTTCTACTGGTTTTCTGCACAGACGGAAAGCAAAGCTGTTCCATCCAGAAGAGAAAGCGGGTGAAATCTGTAAAACTGGATTAGTATAAGATGCAATTGTAAATCTGTCTCTCTCTCTCTTTTTTATATCTGAAAAAAGGAAAAAATAAATCAGACAAAAGGAATTTGGGGGAAAAAAACTACGTTTAGAAAAAAAAACATCTGAAAAATAGCAAAATATAAAATATTGGTTGAGCGTTTGCCCACTTAATAAAGGTTAATATTTTTTAAAATACGTTTATATTTGAGAAGTTTTTGAAGTTTATTTTTTTAATGCATTATTATTTGAAACATATTCTTTGCTTTCAGTAGTACCTGAACAAATTTGTCTTCATAAGAACTCTATTTTGGGGTTTTAAAGCAGCTGTCATTATAAAATGAATTTTCTTATTTTCTCTTTCCTTGATATCAATATATCCCCCCCAGTTCTAATGTAAGGTAAAAACAACAGTATTAAGTCCAGAAGTTTGCAGCAAAATACTGCAGAATTATTAATTGGGTAGAACAATATTTCTTATATCAAAAATCTTTCAAAATGAAAATCTTAAATACTGATAACGATCCCAAATACTGTATATTTATGTTCAGCCTCTCTGAATGAATACATTCTCAGCATCAGACTCCTGGTTGGTGTCTCTACCAGCTTAAATTCTTCTCTGCTAAACATTTTTTAGTCACATTGCATGGATGCAAACTAGCATGTCAGACATTCCTAATTGAGTAAAGACTTTAACTAGGCCACTTTAAGAATACTTTAATTTGATTTAATCAAGTGGTCTTAGATGAAATGCTTGAGGAGTGGTGGTTCCTTCAGCATGTATCAAATAGCTAGTCTTTGTCACCAGCATGCAGCCAGGCTCTACAGAGCTATAATCAACTCATAACCTACCTACACTACCTTGTACATTTTACTTTTTATATATATATATTTTTTTTATCCATATTTTTATCCTAAGTGTATATATTAGTATATTTTTTTGCATGCCTTATGCCCCAGTGTTTTTAGAGATTTTTATAATTTTATTTACTATTTCATATATGTTTCATGTTGCACGATTGTACCATAAAAAATTCCTAGTTGTGAACTCCTTCACTAACAATGGCAATAAACCCGATTCTGATTCTGATTCTGATTCTAATGGAGTTAGTTATAACTTTGACTGTTTGTTAGGAGGCACTTTTTTCTTAGGAGGGGTAACCCTCAACCACAGCGCTATCGAGGGTCAGGAGAAAATAAACATTTATATTTTACATTTAATTCATATGATTAGAAATCAGATTTGAAAATAGTTTTTTATGTGTTTGGTTTTATATGTTTGTTATTGGATACGTTAAACAGAATTCTTATAGAGTAATTGTACTTTTTAATCATTTATTGAATACTGCCATTTGAAAATGTATTTTCAAATTCCAAATTCTAAATTGAAATTTAAAACAATTGTTCTTAATTCTGATTATAAATACCTCTCCTTATCAATAGTATTTTAATTGTTTTCTACCTGTGATGCGACCAATTGTCCCCTTCAGGTTCGCTCCAACGAATCCAGCCAGGTGAGCTCCCAGGCTGACTCCGATGAGATGGATGGAGCTCAGGGAGGCTCCTTCCTCCTGCAACATTAGTTTTAAATGTTACTTAGAGCTAACAGAATAGATTTTCTTCCTGCTGTTAATACATATGTGGGTTTCCCTATTTACTCATGGAATTGAAGTTTGATCTCCTTGTTAGCATCTTAACAGCTGAAAACATTCAGTTCCAGCATCTCCAATGAAATATTTGAACTTTATCAGCCTTAGAGGACACTTTGAGCACATCTATTGATTAATTGATTGACTTTATTGATCTAACAGTGAAGGAATTTACTCGTTACATCAGCTCGAATAGTGAAAGGAGAAGAAGAAGGTGCCAAAAGAAGAAAAAGGTGCATGGGTTATATACAGTATACACAGTATACTTGTTTTTGTTAATGTCTCACCTATGGGGTGAGTAGTAGCGAGTAACATTAACTCAGTTATGTTAACTTGACTAACAATGTGAAAATAATTTACTTTTAGGAGTAGTTTTACTGTTACATACTTCTAACTTTTACATGAGTAATACTCTTGTAAAGCATCACTACTCCTTCTTTTGTTAAATATACTCTGTCCTCTGTTAATAATCAGAACTAATCCAAAATAAGGTAAACAGTAGATAGTAACAGTGGAAGTTCATTATTCTGTCCTAACTAATATTGTATACTGGCGGTTTTCAAAGTGTGAGGCGCTAGAGCACTTTAGGGGAGGCGCGGTGCGAGGGAAAAAATAAACCGGAAAAGAAGCCATCTGCTTGCTGTCTACTGATGTGAGAGCAAGAATGGACACATTTTTAGTAAAGAAAAAGGCAGGGGAGACAAGCTCTAGCGTAAGTAGAAAAAAGAGAAAGTTTGACCAAACATTAAACTACAATTCTCAGATGTAACGTTTGTTTGTTTGAGAAAACAGTTGAAAAGTGAGTCATTTAAAAAAAAGGAAAAAAGGGCGTATTTGCCATACAATGGCCCCGATAAAATAATAAAAATGGGAGGAAATGTTTTAAAATGTTCATGTGTTAAATTTCATTCAGATAGTGTCATTTTAAAAGATGAGATGGTTCTAAAATAAAAGCAATTACAAGGTGTTTTGTAGTGGCATTTGTTCGTGTGTGTGTGTGGTGGGGGGGGGGGGCGCAGCGGGCGTAGTGCTCCCTGGAGGGGGGCTCATCCTTTCATACTTTGAAAACCCCTGTTGTATACAGTTTTCATTGTAAGGATTGTTTTCTAAGTTTTATGCTGACAAAAATTGGTAAAAGTATTTCTTCTGTAGGAAATACTTTTATATTCATGATATTTATTTGGATTTTTAGTGGTTTTGGTTCTGTTTAAGTTTTATCTCTGATTTTTTATTGGTTTTATTTCCATCTTGTTTTATTCTAGTGAATTTTGATTGTATTTAAGTTCTTCTTGTTTGCCATCTGTTGCCATCTTTTTACAGTCTCCTTCTCCTAGCTCCCCTCTAGACTCCTCTGTCCACACCTGCTCCCAATCTGCTGATTAGCCTGGTCTTTGTTTCTGTCTCCCATATATTCTCCTCTTGTTCAGTTACTGTTGCTGGTTCATTGTAATTTTATCCCCCTTCATGTAAGTTTTTTCTAGATTTAGGTATATTTTGGACATTGTGGATTTTGTTAGTTTGGATTCTGCTTCAGTTATCACCTTTGTTATTAAACTTGCAAGAAACCACCTCTGTTCAGTCCCTGCATTTGGGTCCTCTTCAAACCTCCACCCAACCTTACAGTATTATTTAGGCATTTGAGTCTTTAAAATGCCAGAACTGTTTGCCAGCATAATTCTGTACTGACTCTCGAAGGAGGTGGTCGCATTTTCCTGCTTCTCCTGCACCTCCCTGCTCTGTCCCTGCTTTGTTGTGTCTTGTCTTTTCTGAGCTCTCTCTTCATATCCCCTGAACTGAAACAATGGATCTGGTCAGCTGGTCTCTCAATGCAATTGATCAAATTTATTCAACTGAAAGACAGGGAAAAGGGGACCCGTCCCGTCCAGCTGGGACATACTTCGTGGGAAATACCATGGACTCCTGGAAGGCTTGGAGGATGGTGTGCTTTACAATGCTGTCAGTGGAGGATACCGAAGATGTATGGATTTTTGGTTTTATGATACTCTGATTTCTCCTGTTTGGATTTGGAGGATACCTGATGAATCTACATTACAGAGGATGTCGGCAGCAATTTGGGCATTGATCAGGCTGCCGCCAGCGGTTGACGCCCTCACAAAGGCTGTGAACGAACAAGATCGGGAGGAGAGCTGTATGCTGGGTGCGATTGAACGCAGGCTGGCTGCAGTGGTTGAACTCAAAGATGATATGGGATAATATCTTGGATGTGCACGCTCGCTTCAAGGCGGAAAAGCCCAACAAATTTGGAATATTACACTCGCCACGTAGACCAACAAGAAAAGACTCAAGGCTGATGGAAAACTCCTGTGCAACATGCCCTCAAAACAATAAGTGTTATTCTGGATTCGGCCTCCCCTCTTATAAAAGTCTCCCCTGGATGTTATGGTGAAAGGGCACAGAAGAACTGCTCGCCCCCTTCCCTACCCTCAAACATCTTTAGATGCGCCCAGAACTGTTGATAAACTTCCATCTCATCAAGGACAATGGCCTGTGGACAGCGTTCATGGACATGTTGAAAGCACTCATCATACACACACAACTAATGTCTCAAATGTCAGATTGACTTCATGTGACCGCCTGCGATGTGACCCTCTGCTGAAATGTCTCGTGTTACATGTGCTTTTCTTGTGCTGAGGTTTTTTTTAATATCTCAAACTGTATCGTGTCAAGGATAAAGTATAAAATATGCTTTTGTTCTCCTTTCTTTCCCAATGTGGCTCCTATCTTTCCACAGAGATAAAGGAAGCACTATAGGTACCCATAAGAATGCGCCAAAGGCAGCTTTCTGCGGCACACATGGCCTCAGTGAAACCATTCCCCCTCTCAGCCCCCCCACCCCACCCCAATGTATGGATATTTTTTCATGAAAGCTTTTTCCTGAAGCTGAAATCTTGATTGCAATGTAAATTGTAGTTGACAATAAAGTTGATTGATTGACTGATTGATTGATTGATCATTTATTAACATTAAATCTGATGTTGTTATCCAACAGTTACTCAGTGCTCAAGTAGCTTTTTTACCGAAATATTTTTTTTTACCTGAATATACTATTGCTGCTGTTTTTATTGCTTTTATTATAATGTCTATACTTTATATTTATCTTATCTTCTTTTACATGTTCAATGTTAAATATTGAATGTTAACATTAAATGTCATATGTTATTTGTACTGTATTTATTATTGACCACTTGTTGGTGGTTACCAGTCTATCACTGTTACCTGTCATGTCCTGCACTTTATGTCAGTCTGTAAATGTCAGTCTTGTATATTTCTTGTATATTTCTAGAGAGAAAACGTAATTTCATTTCCCTTGTATGTCTTGTACATATGAAGAAAGTGACAATAAAATCTGACTTGACTTGACTATAACTTGAGTAACAAAATGTAGTAGTGCTGGTCTTACTGGAGTTTAGTTTTTGGTTTTTGGGTATTCTACCCACCTCTGCTCACCTGCATAGTCTTGATGAAGCCCGTCAGGTTCAGAGCGGCCTCTCTGGTGTAAGTCACAGCAGTGAAGTAGTTGAGGTTGGCTGCTCCTCTGTTCCAGTCCACCACGATGATGTTCATGTCCTCCTGCTCGGCCAGCAGGTGCACTATGTGGTTGATCCAGATAGGGGGCGCTCCGGTGGGCCTGTAGCCATGGATGACGAAGGCGGTGGGACGGCGGAGGTCCAGCAGCGGCTGGGAGGACAGGTGGTGGTGGTTGAGCTCTCTGCCACAGTCCAGGTTAGAGCGGGTGTAGAGCAGCAGGCGGACGTAAAGACTGGTTCCCATGAAGCAGTGGGAAAGGTCCAGGTCGGTGAAGTTGTCGCAGGCCTCCTCTGTCCCGCTCTCTGTCTGACCTGGACACACATCATAGAAGACACTTGACTCCTGTTTGGCTGTGGCACCATCCTGGAGAGAAATATCAGCTGTGCTGCTGCCATCAACAACTTTGTTTATAGATGTTGGAGATTGGCCTGTTTTTCAGTTTAGTCTTGTTTCTCTGACTGTGACTAACTGGGTGTGCTCTCTTCATCATCTGACAAAGGAGCTGGCTCAGAGATAGTATGCCTGGCTGTGTGTTTACTGGATAGGGCCGCCTGTGGAGCTGGTTGACAGTTGCCTTTTTTGCTTCTGTCTCCTTGAACCCCAGTCGGCCTCAGCAGATGGCCGCTCACACTGAGCCTGGTTCTGCTGGAAGTTACTTCCTGTTAAAACTGAGTTTTTTTCTCTCCACTGTCGCTAAAAACATGCTTAGTGTGAGGGATTTCCTTCAAGTAAATGAGTCGATGCAATCAACTGGTTTTCCTTAGATAGAAAACCTTTAATCAATTTGACTGGATGATCTGGTTGGATTGTAAAGTGCCTTGAGATGACATGTGTTGTGAATTGGCGCTATAGAAATAAACTGAATTGAATTGACTCCAGATGGGATCATATTATTTAGAGTAAAAGTACGGTAGGTGTCACACTAACACATTACATCATGTTCAATATTCAAATTATTTTTCTTTTGGTCTTGTATTTCATCTTTATAATCTTATTTCACCCTTGTCAGAAAAACAACATTTACAGAAATAAATGCCAAACATCACTTACTGTGATCTGCAGCTTTTCCAGCCCTGCACAGATGGAGATTAGCTCACCACAGCATGCCAAATCCTTAAACTATCCACGAAAGGTGGAGCTGAAACCTGCCTTTTTAATCTTTCAGCTAAAACCTTTTAGACCACAAGGGGGCGCTCTAAGACTGTATTAAAAGCATAAAACATACACGAAAAGAGACTTAGATGTTCATTAAACATGGACAAAGTTTTTAAAGACTTGATTAGTATTTTCATAATAAATGAAAAAGGAACACAAGAGACGCTGGGGCACAAAAAATATATAAATGAACAGAATGATTTACCAAGAACAGTTTAGAAATTAAGCTCCACAACCAGTTAGTTTCTGGATCACATCTAATAGCTATTATAAGTCTGAATGTTTGACTACTAGTCTATTTTCTGCTTCTGGTAACGAAGTGAAAAAAATCAGAGCTTGAGGCATGGTGGCCTCTTATGGATTGAAATGTGTTTCATTATTGTTGAAAACAAATTCATCCTACTCTACCAGTCAGTAGCCTTCACTTTTAGTGACGATTTATAAAAAATTGCAATGGAATCTGACAAATATTAAAGCCTTCTTTTGGATGAGGAATTACATCTGGCTTAATTGGATTTAATTGAGTCCTGGCATTATCCATTTAGTGAGCAGGGAAGCCAGGGAGTCCCTGATGATCTCAGGATTACTGATCCGATAAACAGAGGCTGTCTTCATGCAACACCAGAGAGCTCCAATGTGTGGCCATTATTACAAAGACAAAAAATGTAATTACTTAAATATATAGAGAATAAAGGACATATAAAATCCAGTGAGCATTTGTTCATTATAGTATATGTGTTCATTATAATGTTTCAGGTTTTACAGAAGATCAACAGGAAACTGAGTTTTGAATAAAAAAAGATAAAAGAACAACAAAAAATCAGGATAAAAATAACAATTCTTTGAAATTTTCTGTCTGTTTCTGATTTGGGTAAAAACCAAAATAAAATTATGATTTTAGTTGATAGTTTTGTTTCCTTTAGGACCTCAGCTTTATTCCTTTAGGCCTTAATTGATGGATCACTAGTTTAGTTTTATCATTAGTGAGTTGTTCAGTGCTATCCTGAAGAATTCACATTTCATGAAGCCATCGCTTTGATTTTAAGTTGCTCCATAAAAAGCAGAAGAAAACTAAAAGTTTAGCTTAAAGATGGGAAAGAGATTGTTCTGGCCACCAAGGTAAAATATAGGATGCAAATGAAGAAACAAATTTAGATTCATTTTAAAAGAAATACTAAATTAATTAATTTTGCTTTCCTTTTCCTGAAAGAATTTAATCCCTGAATGTTTCTGGCATATTTGTCCTAATCTGAGTTAGTCAGGTCTGTGTCTGATTATCTCCTGTCTGTTATTCCTGCTATGCTTCCTGCTTCACTATGTCAGCCAGGCCTCAACATCTTCCACTGGCGGACAAGGAAAAGTGTGTTTAAAGGCTGATGGTACCATCTGTTTCCATATAGAGGTCCCAAACTCAAACAAACAACAATATACAAACATTAAAAAGCTAATGAAGCTGGAGGTTTGAAGGTATCCCAATGGAATCCAAACTCATATCCAACATTGCTGTTAAACATAGACAGCCATAGTGCAGCGATAAAACAATTTATTCTGCAATTCTTCCTAATTCTCTCTAAACCCTCATCTGTTTGGTGTTTTTGATTTATAGAAATACATTTCTATTGTCAACTTTTGCTGTTTGGAAGAGGAAAAAAATATTTTTTTCAGTTTGAAATCTATTTATTTCTAACATTTTGTGCATAATGAATGAATCCTAAGAGGGGAAATGCAGTGGAGCTAAAAGTAGGACGTCAGACGTGTCCTTGATTCCCTTCTGTCCCAACCGTCAGTCCACTCATCAATCTACCCATGAATTAGTCAAATCTGGAGAATAAACATTGCTTTACGCTTTTAAAACTTTGTAATTTTAAAATTTGTGACACATACTCGATACTGTTTGAATAAATTAAAAAGAGAGAAAAGTATGGCGTGAACTTTGTACTGTTATTTTTGCAACTAATGAACACGTTTGGTAAATGGAAATAAAAAAATAAAAAAAGAATATAATCCAGAAATGAAACTTTAGAAAATGTCACAAAAAAGTTTTGAGACTAAGTTCTTAGATTATATATTTTGTTTATATTTTTCTGTCATTTGCATTTACATTTTTTTTTCATTGTTCACTTTTTTTTTTGTTAGAATTAAATTTTTCAAATTTCTCTTCCTAAGTCCGAGTTTTAAGAATTGCATTCCTTTCAAATAGTTTTTCAGAGATCCCATTCTCATCAGTTCTGGGGGCGGGCTTTCCTCTAGGGGGAGGAACAAACACAGATTTCAATTTCTATTCTATTCATTTTACTTAAGAGCAAGCGTTTATATTGGGCTTGAAATGTAAAGAATGTGTTTTACAAAATGTGATTGGAAAATAGCTCAAACTGCATTTCATAAAACTCAATCTGTAAAAGAAAGATTAAAACAAATCTAATTTGATAATTTAAAATCTGTAAGAACATATAAATAAATGAAAGGCCCACCCTTTAAGCTCAAACTGCTCAAACACAGTTAATAAAGGAAAGATTTCTGATTTTTCAAGCTTTTATTTCTGGATTGCACATTTTTTATTTCCATTTCCAAAAGATGGTCTTTGCGCGCAACAATAATGGAACAAAATTAACAACATGGAAAGGGTTTAACTGGTTTTCCAACAGGAAACTAGAGGCCTAAAATGTTAAATTTGAAGTCCAAGTGTCAAGTTGGAATAAAAGAAGAAACATTTAAGGTTGAATTGCAAAGTTAAGGTTTTCACATTTAATCCAACCTAAGATTCAAAATGCTGCCTATCAATAACCATGTGTAAAATGCAGTCAGAAAGGAATTTTCTCCACTTCTATAACTTCTTTTATCACATTAAGTCACTGAAATGCAGGGAAACATTTGTTTTTGGTTCCTGTTGTTAGTTACTTTTGCATCTGAACTCTTAGCTCCAAAAGTTTGTTGGCCTTTAGGTTTAACATGATTAAATTAATCCTACGTCACTCATCAAATCCAAGCAAACTGAACACCTCCTGACATCCTTAGTAACCCTCAGTTTTAGCTTCCTGGTTCTAAATTAGAATAATTAATTAAGATCAAACTATCGGACGTTTAATTGAGACTGCGTTGGACTTTTAATCTTCCTCTTTGTTTCTGCATTAAGTCACTTCAAATTCAAACAACTCAAATTATTGTTGCAGCTGGTTTATCTTTGTGGGTTTGTGTGAAGATCTATTCTACCGTATTACACCTAGAAGAGACGCAACGACTCTGCTGGATCGTTTAGCCTCAGATGATGGGGACATTTGGTTCTACCTGCTCTACATGTAGAACACAGAAGTGCGACACTGGCCTCAATAGGATCAAGCAGCTATAAAAAAACACCTCATCCCGTCACCACCTGCCCCTTCATGCAAACAGCCGCTGATTACAGCTACCTGTTGAACAGTGAGGCTGGGGTCAAAGGTGGGACAGGGGTCCAATCCACAGCAGACAGACAGCAGACTGAGTCTGACCTGCAGCCTCCAGACACCAACACAATCATCTGATTCCCACCAAACAGATGGAGAGGCCCAAAATAAACGGTTTTTCCCACTAAGCCTTGTCGACATGCTCTACTTATCTCTATTTATAAGTTCAACAGTTAGTTTTCTCTCTGAATGGAGGTAAGATCAGCCTAAAAGCTGCAGGGTTGTGCAGAGGAGGAACTGTGTTTGCAGTGTTGGGGTTTCTCACCTTTGCAGAACATAAGGAGTCCCAGCAGAGCCAGAAGTCCGTGGAGCAACATGGTTCCTGTAGTTTACAGAGACGCAGCAGTCCAGAGAAGGAGAGGATCTGACAGGAGGAGCATCTGAATGCAGACTGAGGGAGGGACTGGATGGAGCAGGGAGGTTAGATGGGAGTGTTAAGAGAGGGGAGGGAAGGAAAAGAGGAGGCACTGAAGGGATGTGTTTCTAGAACACTGGACAAGGTCCAGTTTTAACCCCTTGAAGCCTGAATGGATATACATCAACTCTCAACTCAAACTTTATTTATAAGCATATTTAAAACAACCAAGGTTGACCAAAGTGCTGTACAGGAATCAAAGTTAAGCAACATAAGATAAAAACTGGAGGCTAAAACAATTAAACACATTACAAAAAGAAAAATTTAATGGAGATAAAATATAGTAGGATAAATGTCACGATTTGGTGGTGTTGGTAGAGGACCCAAATGCAGAGACGAGTTGGTTGAGATGAATTTAAGTGTTTTAATGGGTTTTCAGGTTCTGAGGCAGGAGGTAAACAGGCTCAGAGGCAGGAGTCAAAAAATCCAACAAAAATATCTTCAGAACCAGAATCTAGGAGACATCAGGGAAAAACCAAAACTAAGAACCAGGAAGAGACAAGGAAAGACGACAGAGAACTGACCAGAGGTTTGATGAAGACTGAATACTCTACATAAACATAACAAAACCAAGACTGTGACAGTACCCCCCACTTAAGGGCGGATCCCAGACGCCCTAAAATGTCCAGAAACAAAAACAACCCACCCAGGGTGGGCGGAGGGGGAACCAGGAAGGAGGGCACGAAAACAAAACAGAGTCCAAAAAACAACCCACCCAGGGTGGGCGAGGGCAACAAAAAGTCTCTGGAGGCAGACGAGGAAGAGTCTCTGGAGGCCAGCCGCGGGGCCGGAGGCGAAGAAGAGTCTCTGGAGGTCGGCCGCGGGGCCGGAGGCGAAGAAGAGTCTCTGGAGGTCGGCCGCGGGGCCGGAGGCGAAGGAAGAGTCTCTGGAGGTCGGCCGCGGGGCCGGAGGCGAAGGAAGAGTCTCTGGAGGCCGGCCGCGGGGCCGGAGGCGAGGAAGACGCTCTGGAGGCCGGCCGCGGGGCCGGAGATGAAGTAGAGTCCTTGGAGGCCGGCCGCGGGGCCGGAGATGAAGTAGAGTCCTTGGAGGCCGGCCGCGGGGCCGGAGATGAAGTAGAGTCCTTGGAGGCCGGCCGCGGGGCCGGAGATGAAGTAGAGTCCTTGGTGACCGGCCGCGGGGCCGGGGGCACGGCAGACGTTCAGGTGGCCGGCTGTTGGTCAGGCAACGAAGGGGGACCATTGGAGGACGATGTCTCCGTTGCAGCATGAACCTCGGAGGAGGACGACGTCTCCGTTGCAGCAGGAACCTCGGAGGAGGACGACGTCTCCGTTGCAGCAGGAACCTCGGAGGAGGACGACGTCTCCGTTGCAGCAGGAACCTCGGAGGAGGACGACGTCTCCGTTGCAGCAGGAACCTCGGAGGAGGACGACGTCTCCGTTGCAGCAGGAACCTCGGAGGAGGACGACGTCTCCGTTGCAGCAGGAACCTCGGAGGAGGACGACGTCTCCGTTGCAGCAGGAACCTCGGAGGAGGACGACGTCTCCGTTGCAGCAGGAACCTCGGAGGAGGACGACGTCTCCGTTGCAGCAGGAACCTCGGAGGAGGACAACGTCTCCGTTGCAGCAGGAACCTCGGAGGAGGACGACGTCTCCGTTTCAACAGCTCAGCAACAGTCTCTGAGGGGACCGCGGACCGCGGCTCTGGAACAGGGTCCGAGGAGGCCGTCAGCTGCGGCTCGGGAACTGGAGCAGGAGGGGTCGCCAACTGCGGCTCGGGGACAGGAACAGAGGGGCCCGCCGATTGCGGCCCCTGGACAGGAACAGAGGGGCCCGCCGATTGCGGCCCCTGGACAGGAACAGAGGGGCCCGCCGGTTGCGGCTCACCCTCAGGAACAGGGGAGCCCGCCGGTTGTGCCTCACCACCAGGGACGGAGGAGACCACCGACTGTGGCTCCACACCAGGGACAGAGGAGACCACCGACTGTGGCTCCACACCAGGGACGGAGGAGACCACCGACTGTGGCTCCACACCAGGGACGGAGGAGACCACCGACTGTGGCTCCACACCAGGGACGGAGGAGACCACCGACTGTGGCTCCACACCAGGGACGGAGGAGACCACCGACTGTGGCTCCACACCAGGGACGGAGGAGACCACCGACTGTGGCTCCACACCAGGGACGGAGGAGACCACCGACTGTGGCTCCACACCAGGGACGGAGGAGACCACCGACCGTGGCTCCACACCAGGGACGGAGGAGACCACCGACTGTGGCTCCACATCCAGCATGGAGGAAACTGCCCATGGCGGCACAGGTTCAGTCTCTGAGGTGGCTTGAAGTGCCTGCAGAGGGCTCTTGGCGGTTTGGGGCACCCGCTGAGGCATATCTTCACTAACCCCGATCTCAGAAGCCTTTCGAAAAGTATGCAGAGCAGGCTCAGGGGTCTCTGGACGGCACAGAGCAGGCTCAGGGGTCTCTGGACGGCACAGAGCAGGCTCAGGGGTCTCTGGACGGCACAGAGCAGGCTCAGGGGTCTCTGGACGGCACAGAGCAGGCTCAGGGGTCTCTGGACGGCACAGAGCAGGCTCAGGGGTCTCTGGACGGCACAGAGCAGGCTCAGGGGTCTCTGGACGGCACAGAGCAGGCTCAGGGGTCTCTGGACGGCACAGAGCAGGCTCAGGGGTCTCTGGACGGCACAGAGCAGGCTCAGGGGTTCTCTGGACGGCACAGAGCGTGCTTACGGCGACGCCGTCTCTTACATCGGGGGGTCTTAGAAACTGGGCTAATGGGTTCTGGTTTTACGCTAACTGGTTTGGAAATGGATTCATACGCTAAACTGGTTGGTATGTGAGCTGGTTCTGAGGCTAGAAAATCAGGTGAGGTAACTGGCTCTAAAACTAAGGGGAAAGATATACTAAAGTGATCAGAAGCTAGGTTTGCAGGTTCACTAACTGGTTCTGACTCAAGGCTAACAGGTCTGCTAACGGGTTCGGACGCTAAGCTAACTGGTTTACTGACCGATTCTGGCTGGGGAGGAGAGATACAAGGTGGCATAAACGGGAAAAGATCATCTCTATCCCCATAATAGAAATTCCAGAGATCAGACTCCTGAATGTGGGGAGCTCTGACTGTCTGGGGTTTTATGGCTAGAGAAGCAGCAACGCTAACTGGAGATACAGAATTACTTCCGGGTTCTGACGCTAATGATTCTGGAATGCTTATGGGCTGAAAAACAGGAGATGCGTGAATGATGGCGGGTTCTGAAGCTAGTGGAACAAAAACGCTACCGGGCTCTGGAACTAAAGGAAGAGAAGTGTTAACAGAAACTGGAGAAACAGGGTGACTGACAGACTCTAAAGCTAAAGGAACTGGTGAGCTAACTGGTTCTGAGGCTAACGGGAACGGATCACTTCCGGGTCCTGAAGCTGGATGGCTAACGTGAGCTGGAGAAAACGGAATGCTGGCAGACTCAGAGGCTAGAGAAACAGGAAAAGAATCTGGTTCTGATCTGGGATCTGACTGACGGAGAGCTCTAGCTGCAGGGGTTTTGATAAGTGGCGTGAGTTTGAGTTTCCTGACCGAGGGAACAATCTGCTGATCTAACAGGTGCTTACTGGGACGGAATTGACTGACCTGGTGAGGAAGAGGACTGAGACCTGCTGCTGGCTGAACAACAGAGAGAGTGGAGGGGTCAGGCTGACCCACTGGAGATGGAAAGGCCTTCTTGCCCCGGCGGCGGTTCCTACGCCTGGAAGAGGCAGAAGGCAGATGCGAACCAGCAGCTGCAGCAGATGGAGGCTCGGATTCGGAGGTTGGTGGAAGCTGAGTTATGTCTCGGAGTGGTGGTTTGGGTGGTGAAGGTTTATTGTGTAGCTGAGCAAAAGCATCCTGTATATTCCACTCAGCTACAGCAATGTAACCAGTTTGGAGAAAAAAGTCACGGAAGTCAGGGAATTTTTCCAGTTTCTCCTTTATCTGCCTTGCTGCACTCACCCGCTTCCAAGGTGGGCTGATCAGAGGTAGGCTGTCCAATGTAGAGATGAGCAGAGAAAGAAAATCTCTTATTTTATTTGGGTCTGCTGGGTCCATGCTGTTGGCTGGATCCTTCTGTCACGATTTGGTGGTGTTGGTAGAGGACCCAAATGCAGAGACGAGTTGGTTGAGATGAATTTAAGTGTTTTAATGGGTTTTCAGGTTCTGAGGCAGGAGGTAAACAGGCTCAGAGGCAGGAGTCAAAAAATCCAACAAAAATATCTTCAGAACCAGAATCTAGGAGACATCAGGGAAAAACCAAAACTAAGAACCAGGAAGAGACAAGGAAAGATGACAGAGAACTGACCAGAGGTTTGATGAGATGTAAGACGAGGATCCAGCAAACAAGAACTGAAGAGGGAGGGTTTTTAAATGGGACAGAGACAAGGAGAGAGCTGACGAGGAAATTGGCAACAGGTGCTAGCAGCACAGAGAAAACAGCAAGGGAGGACAGAGCAGAGAACAGAGCTAGGGATAGAGGACACAAGAGGGCAGCAGAGGACAACAAATGGAAAACCTGGAGGACAGGAACTAAAAAGAAAACAACAAAATAATAATTAGACACTAAAACAAGGAGAAAAGTAAGACTGAATACTCTACATAAACATAACAAAACCAAGACTGTGACAATAAATGTATTAATTAAAATACATGTTAAAATAAAATAAAATTTCAGAGTAAAATTTTGCCAAATGTCCACTTAGACCTGATGAAAAGCCAGGGAAAAGAAGTGTGCTTTTAGAGAGGATTTAAAAACCTCAAAAGAGCCTGCTGATCGAATATGCCAAGGCAAGTTATTCCAGAGCCTCGGTGCCGCTGCCATAAAGGCATGATCACCTTTGGCTTTAAGTCTGGTTTTAGGCATGACTAGTAGCAACTGATAGGAGGATCTTGACTTAACTTCTTTGGATTTGGAGATATTCAGTCAAATACTGGGTGGAACATGTACATATGCATGTTTTTCCCTTCAATGAGATGACAAATTAAAATGGTTAATGTTACTAAATAAATAGAAATGAAGGTAAAGCATATTTTTTAACAGCAGTTATAACTACATAATAACATTTACTGTGACTAGCACTGGGGTGATGCAAAAACGCTAAGGTGGCTGTTTGCCTACACTGCAAAAATGTTTAAAAAATGTGTAAATACACTTATTATAAAAATGTCTTAAAGTAAGTGTGTTTACCCTTAATATGAGCTGGAAAATAAGATGATCTGCCAATGGAATGAGTATTTAACCTTAAAATGAGATAATTAGATATCATGAACTAAAAATAAGAGACTGCAGTTGATTTTTTTTCTTACCTATCTATCATCTATCTATCTATCTATCTATCTATCTATCTATCTATCTATCTATCTATCTATCTATCTATCTATCTATCTATCTATCTATCTATCTATCTATCTATCTATCTATCTATCTATCTATCTATCTCTCTCTCTCTCTCTCTCTCTCTCTCTCTCTCTCTCTCTCTCTATCTATCTATCTCTCTCTCTCTCTCTCTCTCTCTCTCTCTCTCTCTCTCTCTCTCTCTCTCTCTCTCTCTCTATCTATCTATCTATCTATCTATCTATCTATCTATCTATCTATCTATCTATCTATCTATCTATCTATCTATCTATCTATCTATCTATCTATCTATCTATCTATCTATCTATCTATCTATCTATCTATCTAAATTATAAAAAGTGTTTGGCCATAATGATGCCACTAAAGATGTTTTAATGATTTAGGGTATAATGGCTTTTTTGCTGTTGTTTTTGTGTTTTACAAACTTTATATAAAATCTAAATAAATAAAAAAAATAATTATTTGTCATCTTTTAAACTAAAGCTCTCATTTTAAGTATCATTGAAGTAATTCTAATATAACGTACAATATAAACAACAATAAAAATCTATATAAAGCATAAAGAAATCTAAAGATTCATTTATTGAATACTGAGACCAGGGACATAAATGAGTCCAGTTTAAAGCTTTTACTGTGTATTCTGGTTTGTATTCCCAGTCAAGTTATAGCAGCCACTACAGCTGACTGTCACTTAGTTTTTCTGAAAACTTTTTGACATCGATCCAAGAGTTTGTAGCATTTTCACGTTATTTTTTTTTTTCATAACATGATTTCCATGGTTGAAAATAAAGTAAAATGTAAAAAAAAAATCCAAAACCATTAAGGGATTTAAACCCAAATGAGAGAACTTTAAAATGGAACCTTAAATGTACAGCAACAAATCTTCCTCTTACTGTACGAAGGACCATTAATCATTTTTTTTTTTACTTGAGCAGAAGCACCAGGCTGTCTTCTTAATTGTGTTAATTAATGTTCCTACAGTTTTATTTTGTTTTCCTTTAAATCTATGGTCCAGTCCAGCACTTTGGTCATATTTGGTGCTTTAAAAATGAAGATAGATAAAAAAAGATTCAGAAAAGGGAACACATAATTACACATTAAATCTCTATAAAGTATGATTGTCTATTATTTTTTTATCCCTGCATGGAGGATGATGGTTTATTCTTAATAAAACATCAGCTGCCAGACTAGAGATGTTTATAAAAGCTGCTGCGAACAGATTCACTGGTTTTCATACAACTGAAATAAGTGGTTTCTTAATAACAGAGCAGAAAATGTGACCTTTTTAAACAAGAGCTAAATTTGTTAAAGTCAAAAATTAAAAGAAAAATCAGAGGTCATGCAATAAAAAAATGCTTGTTGTTGAACTTCTTCTAAGTTTCTTCAAGTGTAACATTAATCACCACTTAGTGGAGTCAGAGCAGGATTTGGGTTAACGTGTGCTGCGAAGGTTAAAGCCACACCAGTGATGGTTAATGATAGCTGCACACTGCACCCAGCCCATGCCACCCTGTATTTGGATCGTATCAGATCCAACATAAACACATGTAATTTAGCCTCTACAGAGAGTTGAGGGTTACAGTAATGTTAGAGTCACTGTTACAACCTTACAATCAGCAGCGGATAAATAAAAGTGGAGCCTCAGTTTAGCAGAGAGCGACAGAAAGCAGCAGCGGGGACTGAAGTTGTTAGAGGGAACAGAGTCAAAAGTCAGCTTCTGTTGGATGTTTGTTTATTACTAATTATATATATGTCCAAAAAGACACAGTGGAGAAATAATTTCCTCTACTTTCTAAGCAGATCACTATTTTAATTGATTTCCTCATCCATTTACTACCTGCAGGAATTACTGAGGATCTCTGAGCTTTCAAGCTACAGAAACAGCATTTTTCTGCTTTTATGATGCAATATCCCTGATTTAGTTCAATTAAGTTTATTTATATAACACCAAGTCATAACACATGTCATCTCAAGGCACTTTACCATTCAACCAGATCATACAGTCAAATTGATTCAAAGTTTTCTATCTAAGGAAAAGCATAGACTAATTTATTCAAAGGCAATTTCTCACTAAGCATGCTTGTAGCGGCAGTGGAGAGGAAAAACTCCCATTTAACAGGATGAAATCTCCGAGGCCGACTGGGGTTCAAGGAGACAGAATCAAAAAAGGCAACTGTCAACCCCAGACTCCACAGACAGCCCCATCCTGGAAACACACAGCCAGGCAGACAAGCTCTGAGCCAGCTCCTTTGTCAGACGATGAAAAGAGCACACCCCGTTAGTCACAGTCAGAGAAAAAGTGCTACACTGAAAAACTATAACTATTAACACACTATAAACAAAGGTGTTGATGGCAGCAGCACATATTTCTTTCCAGGATGGAGTCACAGCCAAACAGGAACAGATGAGGCAAAGCTATTATGAGAAAAAGCAGAGAAAGCAGAACGTTAGAGATTGAACTAACAGATTCTGCAGAGTGGGAAAATAGAATAGAGAGATAGAATGAAGCAGAATGATGAAATAGAGGTCCCTATGTCCTCCAAAAGTCTAAGCCTATAGCAGCATAACTATAGAGATAGCTCAGGATAACCTGAGCCACTCTAACTATAAGCTTTATCAAAAAGGAAAGTTTTAAGCCTAGCCTTAAAAGTAGACAGGGTGTCTGCCTCACGGACTAAAACTGGTAGTTGGTTCCACAGGAGAGGAGCCTGATAACTAAAAGATCTGCCTCCCATTCTACTTTTAGAAATTCTAGGAACCACTAGTAAACCTGCAGATTGAGAGCGAAGTGCTCTGTTAGGAACATCAGGAACAATCAGATCTCTGATATCAGATGGAGCTTGGCCATTTAAGGCTTTATATGTGAGAAGGAGGATTTATATTTCAATAGAGTTCAGTTTGTCTGAGGGTTCTTTTGTTGTCAAGTGATAAATCATTCATTTGTTTTTAGATAAATATCAATGCATCCATTCCTCCTCCCCATGGTACTCATGGTAAGACAAAATGCCTAAAGGGGTACACAAGTCAAAAAAGGTTGGGAAACACTGATCTAGATCATGTAACAGCAAAGTATCTGTTATTTATAATAATAGGAACAAATAATGAACCATATCTTAAGTATCTTTTGTTACTATGATGAGTAAAAGGCTTTTAAAATCAGTGTATTCACCTTAATTTGAGCAGGTAAAGGTATGTACAGTGTTTTCAACTTAAAATAGAATAATTAGATATTATGTACTTGAAATAAGATAGTTGCGTAGTTGATTTTTCTAGTTTAAACATGAATAACCTCATTTAACTGACAAATTGTCTGACTTAACTGCTGAAATCAGAGGAAAATTAAGTAATTTTAAGAAAAATTGACTCACTTATATTTCACTTTTTTGCTGTGCATATTTGTCTTAATAAAGGAACCCAATCCATTGATTAAATATCATTGTAAAGTGTTTACTGCTAATTCAGAGAAGTTTTTCCATCCTGACTTCAACACCTCTAAGTACAGATGAAAGGTCACCGTTTAGCCACAATGTTCAGACCACCTAAAGAGCTTACCTTTACAAGCTCCGCCTCCTCACCTGCCATCTCACTTGGCAAATTACATGGGTCAAAGTGGATTTCCCTGATTAGATCATGAGATCAGAAAAGTTTCCTCTTCTCAAACAGCAACATGAAGCTCTGAGCTCCTTAGCAAGGTGATGGATCCAAATCTGCAATGATCGGAACCAAGGATTAGTCTCCAGTTGTCTGGGTACACTCCAGAGGAAGAAGGTGCGGAGCAGTTCCAGAACTTTCTGAAAGGATTATACATCCCTCATGATTTATTAAAGTGATCGGATCTCAGAGAAGGAGCTGGAGAGCAGCACTGGAAAAAGATCTAGAGGAAAAGATAAAGGCTGAGATGGATAATTGGGTGGAGGAGACTGGAGGCTGGAAGAATAGCCAGAAGAACAGATGAATGGATGAAAGGATAAATGGATAGAAGGAGAAAATATGTGAACGAATGATAGAAAAAAAAAGTAAGAACCTTTATATGTTGTTATTGTCCCAAGACCAGAATGAAGCTGATGCTGCATTCAAATTGAAGCAGTTTTAAGAGTCAAAAAGTCAAGGATTCAACTTTGGATGCTTGTCTATTTTGAGGTGAGACACTCTGGATGCTCAATGCTCTGGTTGTTAAGCTGCTCTGTTCTTTCGCTGAAATCTATTTGCTTTGATGAGTAAAAAAAGAACAAGTTTTAACACATTTCTGTGTGAGAAATTCCAGCTGAAAACATGACCTGTGCACTCAGTTCATTAGGATTATCTTATTTAACAGTGGCGTTTTACTGGCCGCCTATACCTCATATAACCATCGTTACCTGAGAGCCCAAAGAAAGGATAAGTATTGTATTTTCATTGTTTGTTTAAAATTAAAAAAATGAATAAACGAATGATGCAGGAGTTCTTTCTATGCCACAGATGATCAAACATATTTTTTCATTGTCAAAAAGGAAAGAGAATAATTTAAGTATTGTCTTGTATTTTGATTAAGAAAAACAAATCAATTACTTTAAAACATTAATAGAAAAGGCCTATTTTCTTCATTTTCTGTGACTAGATGTCCCTTTAAAAGAACACCAGGTGCCATTACTGCTTTAGCCCAGCAGAAAATGTCTGTAGAAGTTTAGTTATGATTTAGGCATAGTAAAATAAAGCCTGTTAGAATCAGAATGATTTTATCAATCCCTTGCAGGAAATTCTTTTCTTGCAGTGTACCCGTTTAGAGAACATGTCATCCACTGACATCTCAGCACATATTATACAAAAAAACTGGGGAAATAGGAGGATGTTTAGCAAAACAAATATGAGATTTTGCAATGATTAATCTGTATTTCTAGATAAATTTAGGAATACGAAGGACTCCAAAGTGCTTAACATTGCAACCAGTCCTGGGGCACACTGACAGCAGCCTGACTGCCATTCAGTCCTTAACATAGAGAAGTGTCTCACCCAAAGACACAAAACCTGAAATGATTATAGCAGGGGCTCAAACTAGCAACCCACTGCTTTCAGTAGCAACAATACCTTATTGAGAGTGCAAACAATAAATTAATAAATAAATAAAACATGAATTTTTGTTTCTGTTTTAAAGAAATTTTTAAGTAATTTCATTTGTTAATCGAAATAAAAACCAAATTAAAATGATTTTTATGACACAATTTTTATTTTTTTGACACACAAAAAAGAAAATACTTAATTCTTTGTATTTAGACCTCAAGGTTTTATTTTAAATCACAAAGCCATTTGCTTTTTGTTATTCCTTTCTAAAAGTAAAATCAACTGACCAAAAGATAAACTTACCCTGAGGTCCACGTGGTCCGGAGCACAGCACCCCCTGCAGGTCATGGGAGGAAAATAGCTTTGACATGTTAGCATGGGGTAGCTATTAGGACAGATATAGAAAAAGCAGCTGTAAAAGGCACCCCATGCAGGAAACACACAGCCAGGCAGACGAGCTCTGAGCCAGCTCCCATGTCAGAGGATGAAGAGAGCACATCCAACCAGTCACAGTCAGAGAAACAGGACTAAAAACAGGCCAATCTATAAACTAAGGTGTTGATGGCAGCAGCACAGCTGATATTTCTCTCCAGGATGGAGTCACAGCCAAACAGGAACAGATCAGATGAAGCTACTATGAGAGAAAGCAGAGAGAGCAGAACGTTAGAGAATAGATTCTGCAGAGTGTGTGTGGGGAGGGATACCTGTAGATAGAAAGGAGCAAAATGATTAAAAAGTGGTCCCTATGTCCTCCAGCAGTCTAAGGCTAAAGCAGCATAACTATAGAGATAGCTCATGTAATGTAATGTAACATAATGAACGATGTGCTGCGTATCCCGACATCTATGTTCAGTGGAAATGCTCAAAATATGTTAGGTAAACTGCATTTATACATCCAAATGTAATGTAAAAATGAGTGCTTCATTGTCTCCCATACCCATTTCTTCTCATGCACAAACTAATCTGCTTAAAGACAAGCAGATCTACTGAACTACCGACACGGGTTATTTTAAACACCTTGGTGCATGCTCGAGGATCCTCGGACGGCCAATTGAGTTTTCCCCCGACAAAGCTGAGGATGTGGTTAAAGTGTGTGTGGTGCTGCACAACTACCTCACCCACACAGACGAGGTGGAAAGCTAAGAAGCATGCATACCCCCCCCCCAGCTATCATGGGAAAGAGCTGGGTCTGGTGAGTGGCGAGCTGATGTCACTGGGGATTCCAACATGTAGCCTATTGACTCATCAATGTTGTCCAAAGCAGGCGCCACCAGAGCATCTATGGCAGTGAGGAGAGACCTAATGTTTTTCTTCCAGACAGAGCGTAAACCTGTGTCATGGCAGAATGAGGTGCTGACTCAAAGTAAACTTGGAACGCTTGAAGAGTGATGGCCCTGAGTAATGACCTTTCCTTACTCTTCCACACACTGTTTTTTTTTTTAAACTTGCTTTTATCTTTTTATATGATGTTTTTAACAACCCATTTAAGAAATGTCTGTAATTTGGCATACTGTATGATTTTCAGAATAATAAAAAAGATATGCTGTGTCTATAAAGCTTTGGTTTTTATTTCTAAACAGAGACACACCAAGGTGGGAAAAAAAGGAAGAAAAAAAAGATAATATTGACAATGCAAACAGAAAATGTACATATTCAAAAATATACAATAGAGCAGGTAATGTAAACAAACTTTGTAAACATGTAGTTAACCAAAGAAAAAAATGTGTATCTAATGCAAAAACCATGGCTCTGCACATCCAGACTGTGGTAGATATTGTTCATATTCAATGCAATGTAACAATTGACATACTATTGGACAATTAATTATTATTACAGAACAAGGTGGAAATTAAGCGTGTGTGTTTGTATTGGTGACAGAATTGCCTTTGGGCAATAAAAAAAAAAAAAGATTTATGAAGTGTATAACATGTAGTGTATAACAGTCAGCTCGGTGTCTGTGCTGCTGCCCGCAGCTGATCCATCTCATTATACATGTAGTTGATGGTATTCCTGATAACAATGTCCCTACTGTCTGTCATGTTGGGTTCAAGGCGTCTAACCCACATGCAGAAACCACTCTTAAGTCAGGGAAAAAGTTAAATGATTTATTGACAATGTTACATGTTATGGAGTACAGGTTCTGGGTTCTTCTGACGGGTCACGGCAGGGAAGCCACTGAGGAGGACAGAGCAGTTAGAATGGATCCAGGAAATTTGCAGTTTACTGGTGACAGGGATAAATACCTGCTCAGAGAGGATTCTGATCAGCAGGGGGGGGAACCTTGTGAATCCAGAGGCTAGTCGGCAGGCAGAGGGCTGAGGGCAGAGGCAGACACTGAGTGCTGGCAGGCAGATTCCAGGCAGAGATATCAATCTCCAGGATTTCAGGTTTCCAGACAAGTCAGGATCATTACTGGCAACACTCTGGCAGGGAAGTGTCAGCCTCCTCCTACTTAAATAGGTCTTCTTGATGAGGAGACAGGAAACAGGTGTGTAGAGGTGAGCTCATGCCCTCAGGAGGAAGATCTCAGGCGCCCTCTGGTGGAGAAAGTGAACAAGCCTCCAGATCCCAACACTGTCCACTGGTACCTTCCTCACTCTGCCATGAAATTCCCAAAGGACAAGCAGTCATCCTGCTGCAGCCTGTGCAGAAGCCTCAGGCTATTTTCAGCCAGTTTTCTCAAGGGTGTGCCAAAATGTCCTGGTCATCATCAGAGCTCGTATCTGAGCTCAGATCACAGGTGGGATCAGTGTCCTGTGTTGTCTGTGACTCTAAACAAAAAGCAAATCAACTACAGTATGGTCATTGTACCGATCGTGCTCCAGTGTACATGTATAGAATAGCACCAATACACAAGTACCATTTAGTATATAGTTTATACTGTCTTTTACCACAAGCGTAACTTTCTGAAGGACTGGTGGGGACAGTCCCCACCAATAATTTCCACTTTATTTCCCTGTTCCACTCATTTTCTTTATCCAGAGGGGAGCAGACATTGGGTGCAGCTATCTGTGCTCTGGGCGTTTGAGTCAGTGTTTTTTCTCTGTCTCTTGCGGCTCCTGTGTCCCGCCTCTCGGTGTAACATCATCGTATTTGTCGATTTGAGACATCGGATTTGTGGTGGCATTTCACTGATGTACAAAGTAGCTACGTGGTTGGAGGAGAGACACACAGCAGCACTCAGTGAATATTAATCAGCAGCTACTTTGTTGTTTAAGTAAAAGTTAGGAGAAGGGTTGGCTAAAAAAAAATTACATATCATGCCACTGTTCTTGAGACATAAGGAGCCATTTCAGCTAAAAAACGGCAACAGTTTGTAAGTTAGTTTTATAATGCAAGAAGCTTGGGAAAACATAGTTTCTTATTGTACAGACAGACACAATGAGACTGTAGAGCTTCTACATATCTTAAAATTTAGTTTCTGGCATCATTATATTATAAGAGAGGTTCGTAAATCTTTTTAAACAGAGCACAGAGAGAAATACTGGGAGCTGCAGATTTAAAAGGGAAACAGATTCTCTGGGATATGCAACATGCAATAATATATATGTCTAAGTTTACCAGAAAGTTTACAAGAAAAAATATTCTATGCTATATTTAAAATGAAGCATATCCATTTTTTTCTGGATGGAAGGAATCGAAATTGTACTTCAGAATCAGAATCGGCTGTTATTCTTTTTTTTTTTTTTTATATATATATATACATTAATGTTTTTAGGCCCTATATATGCAATGCACTAAAAGGCGTCTATCTAACTATGTATACATATATATAAATATCAATGTATTTTGGTTCTCTTGTGTTCTTAACAATAGCAGAGCATTCAATAAATATTTGTTTGAGCTCATTTTTGGAAAATACAAAAACCTAATGAAAGTGTTTGGGTGGAGTGACTGTAGGTCCATCAGCCTCCAGAGCATCAACACCAACTTTCATCACAAAGTTACACCCTTGTCTTTAACACTTACTTTGGCACCTTCACAATACAAAAGTAGTGACCTGCCCTTTGTTTTAGTGTGCAGGAACAGACGCTGCTTAGCATGTGTACCTGTGATAGATTGAAATGTGGTCATTATGAGTCAGATGCAGTTACTGTTTCTGATTTTCTCTCTCTCTCTATCTATCTCACCCCTCGTGGGGTGGTATGTGTCATCCTCAAACTCGGGTCCTCTACCAGAGACCTGGGAGTTTGAGGGTTCTGCGCAGTATCTTAGCTGTTCCTAGGACTGCGCTCTTCTGGACTGAGACCTCTGATGTTTTACCTGGAATCTGCTGTAGCCACTCTCCCAGTTTGGGGGTCACAGCCCCCAGTGCTCCAATTACCACTGGCACCACTGCTGCTCTCACTTTCCACATCTTTTCTAGCTCCTCCTTCAGTCCTTGGTATTTCTCAAGCTTCTCGTGTTCTTTCTTCTTGATGTTGCTGTCGCTTGGGATTGCCACATCTATCACTACTGCCTTCTTCTGCTGTTTGTCGATCAACACGATGTCTGGTTGGTTAGCCATCACCTGTTTGTCAGTCTGGATCTTGAAGTCCCATAAGATCTTAGCTCGGTCATTCTCAACTACCTTAGGAGGTGTCTTCCATTTTGACCCCGGGACTTCCAGCCCATACTCATGGCAGATGTTCCTGTACACTATGACAGCTACCTGGTTGTGGCGTTCCATGTATGCACTTCCTGCCTGCATTTTACACCCCGCTGTTATGTGCTGTATTGTTTCAGAGGCATCTTTGCACAGTCTGCATCGGGGGTCCTGCCTGGTGTGGTAGACCCTGGCCTCTATTGATCTTGTACTGAGTGCCTGTTCTTGTGCTGCCATGATTAGTGCCTCTGTGCTGTCCTTCAGTCCAGCCTTTTCCAGCCACTGGTAGGATTTTTTGATATCAGCCACTTCTTCTATTTGTCTGTGGTATACGCCGTGCAGCGGCTTGTCCCTCCATGATGGTTCTCCTTCCTCTTTCTTGTCCTCACTTTCGGTTTTCTCCTGCCTGAGGTATTCACCAAGCCATTTGTCTTTGGGGGCCATCTTTCTGATGTACTCCTGGATCTTAGTTGTTTCATCCTGGACAGTGGTCTTGACACTCACTAGCACTCGGCCTCCCTCACTACGCTTGGTGTACAGTCTCAGGGTGCTGGATTTGGGGTGGAACCCTCCATGCATTGTGAGGAGCTTTCTCTTCTATATATATATATATATATATATATATATATATATATATATATATATATATATATATATATATATATATATATATATATATATATATATATGTATACACAAAACATATACAAATATATATATTTGTAAGTTATGTTATATATGATTTATAGACTTCATACTGACAATGCAATGTGATGTGCCTATTTTCAACCATACATTACAGGAATCTACAGATACTATGAAACACCAAGTGTGTGTCAAAGTGAGGACTTTATCTTTGTTTTGAAAGTCTTAATTCCCCCTGAAAATGAGAAAATCATCATTGTTCGATTCTGAAGTGCACAGATTGTTTACATTGCAACCAGTCTAACTAGGGAGTACCAATATGGCGGCATGTGGCCTCACTCCACCACTAGCACCACCAATGGCTTATCAGCAATGTATTGAATAAATAGAGATCAGTTGCATTCTTACTCATTATTGGAATACTGCAGCCCACCAGCAGAGGGCTCTCTGATGCCTGTTTTTGCACTTATTGTTCAGCTCATGCATATTATTGTTCAGAGAAGCTCTAACATTAGATCTAATACTGTCTATTTAGATGTATTAAAGGTGCAAACATGGAAGTTTTCAACTTGTGACTGATAGTATTTAGGCCCATTGCTGTATTCCTCTAAATAGTCTGTTTTTGCACAATTATATAGATAAAAAAGTTCCCCTTGTACATTTTTGTTATACAGGTTCATAACCTGAATGTATTATGTTCCCATAACTGTATAGTTTTTTCTATAATTGTATTTTGTCTGTATAAACTCCTTAAATAAATGCTTTAATTGGTAAAAAAGTGACTGAATTATGTTTACCCAGCTTCATTTATTAACAATGGTTTAACAATTTATAAATTACATAAATCAAGCTGGGTAAACTTGAATAAATCAGTTGTTACCAATGGAAGTTGGATTCCACAGTCTGTATTTGTTTATAATTTCCAATGTCTGGCTTCTTATTCCAGGTCTATTCTATTCTGCCGGAATTGTACATCATTAGTTTTATCTTAAGTATGGTTTTTGCCTTGAGTTCCTATTTTAAAAAAAAGGAACCGGTTCAAATAAACTGAAATGCATTTAATTGAATTAAACTAATTAAAGCACATTGAGAAAAGTTTTAGCTGAATTGATCAGGAGGGATTTAAATCATGAGAAAATGATCCAAACTAAACTGAACTGAAGAAAATTGAACTTAACTGTAAATAACAAAGGGATTTTAATAGAACCAAAAATAAAGTGAAATGAATTCAATTGGACAGAAATAAAATTAAATCCACATTCTTACTTGATTTAATACCAAACTTGACTCAAACTGAGCCGAAGAAAATAAACTTGATTTCATTGGCTAAATTGGAGTTAAGAAAGAAAAACGTTTGCCATTCTAGTATCAACAAGTGCTGTACAAGAGAAAAAAACATCAATAAAAAAAACTTCATATTAAAAAAAGAGATTAAACTGAACTTTATCCAAAGAAACCTGAATTAAGTGAAGCTAATCACATTAAACTAAGCAGAACTAAAGTGAAAAAAACTGCATTTTATTACTCTGAAGTGTGTGGTCAGAAAATGTAGGTATCTTTCTTCTATCATATATTAATTTATCCTATTTACTCACAATAAAAGTTTTCACTCAGTCTGTGTCACCTTCAAGGTCACACCATTCTCTGTAGGATGGTGTTTGTAGACCAGACATAGCTTCTTCCCATAACAAATCAGATTCTTTCTCAAGGTTTATTCATAACATGTTACTGTTAAGCAAAGTGTTTGTGATTTGTTTTGACTCTGATTACTTTCCATTATTGTAAGTAGGGGGGAACGGACTCTGCCCGGGCAGAACAGGGCTGAATACAGAGCAGTAGGGGCTGTATGATGGGCTGTTCACTCTTTGCAAAGATATAAAATAAAGAGCTGACTGAGTGAAATCCATCAATATCCGTTCATTTAACTGGGATTAATGGTTGAATGCTTTTTTCCCACTATAGTGCACAGAAACTAATCTCTCACTAGATGACTAAATGTGACACGTTGGACTTATTGATGATGATGATGATGATGACAGGAATTTTCCTCACTATGTCATCAGTAAAGAGACATAGAGGGGCTGATTGTTATTGCATCTGATCACATGGCTAAAAGGATTTTAACTTTTTTTTTTTTTTTTTTTACATCCTCCCCTGATGAATTATTTCTGACCTATAGATGTGCCTCTCTGGTTTGTGAAGTAGCCTACATCTTTCAGTTTCTATGTCCCTTGTCATATCTACACGTGTAAACTTCCTGCAGACATTCTCAGAATAACAGCTTGGTTTCCTGACGTGTCAGTGTGCATATTTCCAAGCATATCAAGGCGGCAATAGCTGACCTCCTTCTGCACTCATTTATTCATTTTCTCTGTGGTCCGGAGCTTTCATCGCGCCTCCTGAAGGGGTGTCTAGAACTGAGGTGTGGGTTTTTTTTTTTTACTTGTTAGTTGAAAGCAGAAGTATCGCAGACAAAGAGGTTGAAGACTGTTTGCTGGCCCGCAGCCTTTGTTCACCATGGCAGTGGCTCTGCCGGCATGTTACCACGGCGCCATGTCCAAGAGGGAGTGTGAGGAGCTGCTGGGGAGAAAGAACAAGGATGGAGCCTACCTGATCCGAGAGAGCGAGAGCATCCAGGGTGCCTTGTGTCTGTGTGTCTAGTGAGTACCAATCTAAACCAGATGTTTCTATTAAATTACCCAACAAACTAGTGGAAATGACTGAACTGATATAACAGTGCAGTATAGTCAAAGTAAACAACTGGAAGCAGAAAGCTGAGCTACAGTGTGTTGGTTCTGATGTTTCGGTACCAGTATGGTGGTGGATCAAACAGCGAGTGCGTCTGGAACACACCCTCTCTGCTCCCCTCACTGTCCTCTGCAGGGCCTCGGTGTTAACTAGCTGTGAAAACATCAGCTAATGTGTTAGAAATGCAGAAGTTAGACCAAAGAAAACTTTCAGCCTGAAGATTGCTTCTTAATGTCTTGATTTTTATATTGATATTGAAGTTAAGCTTGAAACTAAAACAAATTGGTGCATTCTAGTAACTCTGCGTCCCCCTGGCTGCCTAAATTAGTTAAAATTATAAATATTTTACTAAGTTTTGAATAACTGGCCCCTTCTATAGCACTTCCCTTTGTGTGGTTTTAGACCATCAAACAAATAATTTTTTTTAACAATTACCTGACTTAATGCAAAAAGCAGCTTTAAAATAACAATTGTTGAGTGGAAACAAACCTTTCCAAACCTGCCTCTCCCATTGGGAAACAGTAATGACCCCCTAAACCAGGGCTCAGTAGCCTGCAGACAAGCGGCTCTTTGGGCCTTCTGGAGCAGCTTTTATTTACTTTGGATAAAAACCGAAAACATCAGTTGAGGAATGTTAAACATAGGCATAAAAACACAGCAGCAGACAGTTTAAACTGTCATCTGGTTTACACTGATAAGTACCAGTAACACTTTCCTGGTCATTACTTTGGTACTCTGCTTTTAAAAAAAAAATTTGCTCCCAAACATGTTGAGATCTTATAGAGGAAAATGCATCTACCCTCTTTTTGCAGATGTCTCGCTTTTCTGTTGTTTAAAACCTAAAATGAATAGATTGTGGCTCTTTGTGACACATTTCCTGTGGTAGATTTTTTGGAAAAACTCTGAAGGTTGCAGCCCCCCCCCCGTCTAGCAGTTGATATCAATTACCGCCGCCGAGTTGTTTACATCAGTGTGGAGGGATTTAGGGTTAGTATTTGCTGATTTCAGTCACGCTAAACCATTTTACATTATGGCTGTCTCGTCAATAGACTTTAAAACCTTCAGCCTTTTATCTGATCAGGGGGGCACTCGTATATGTGCTTTAGGTCAATGTCTGGCTGCATAATGCATGAGCTTGAGGTTGCAAACTCATAGCAACTCATTCTTATCTTACCACAGCAAAAAGACCCAACACCATCACACTAGTCCACCAACCTGTTAGATTATCAAAATAAACATCTGGGTGTTGCATTTGTTAAAATTTATTTCTCCATGCTGTGTCTCTGACAAACACCCTTCAACCTGAGAATGCAGCAACAAAACAAGCATATTAGCACCATTGCAACTTGCATTTCTTTAAATAAAATAAAAAGTTTATTGTTTTGCATGTGTTAAATTCACATTTAACAACATGGCCACTCATCCAGTGAAGCGGCAACACTTCACCCAGCTTGACTGCTGTTCGTAGTCAGAGCCCAGATTGTACGTACGATAGCCTCACTTTGATCTGTAGCTACTTAGCTCTGTAGCATCAGTGTGTGAATCTGTGTTGAAATGAGGTTTGAGCACTACGAGGAAAAGTAGGAGCAGTTTCACTGTAATTGTTCTAATGTATTTGCCCTCGTCAAGCTCCTATAACCTATATGCATAGCACAGTATACTGTAAATTATTCAGCAAATTATTTATCTCTTACCTAAAAAAAAGGACTCAAATATAAAGATGTACGCTAATTTATCTTATTTTAGGTGTTAAAGGTTCATAGTTACGTTATGTTCCTATATCAATAAAAAGCAAAATCCAGTTGATTATGATAAAGTAAGGCTGTACACTGGAAAAACTATCTAGAAACAAGTAAAAATTTCTTAAATTAAGTGTATTTACCCTTAATCTGAGCAGGTTTTCTCATCCCATTGACATAGTGGCCATTAATGCAGCTACTAAATAAGTTCCACCGTCTCCATTGCATCAACCATTGTTGACCAAATCTATCTATGCATGTGCAGTGAAATTGGTTGATAAGACATTGAAAAGACGACATGATTTCTATCCGAACAACGTATACATTTGGTTTAAGTGGAAGTTTTTTGTTGTGATAAAGTTGTAAAAAATCAGACCGACTACACACAGCTCAATTTTCAACAAGTATTTTAGGACTAAATCGAGACTATGACGGGCCGTCCAAATTTAGCCTGAAAACCAACATTTGAATGATGTCTTGTGTTTGGGGGGCATGATGTTGTTATGGTAAATATACTCAGAAAGGCTATGGCTTAATCGGAATACCTCAAACTATTGTTCCTAGCTGCTACTCCTTCAAATTCATCCAGTGAAGGAAAGGAGCTACGGACTGTTCTGATGAATCCAAACAAGCCACGGCCTCACAGATGTCATTATAAGACAGACATCTAGATGAATGGCACTCAAATTAGGTCTACAGGCTGACAGCAGAGAACGGTAAAAAACAAGAGTTGCACAAATGTAGTAAACTGTTGTATTTTTGTCACACTCTGAGGTGGCTGTGCCTATAAAATCTGTCACCCAAATTACGGTGGTCAAATGTTTAGGTCCTAGTAACAGCGAGCGAGGTCAGGTGGTCTCTATGCAAAATGCATTACTAAGCATTCTGCGCCCTGGTCCTAGTGCCTTCCTCAGCACTATGGCACTTATATTTAGTGGCTTAAATGATTTGCTGTTTTTGGATTTATCCTATATTTACTGAATAATTGAACAAAATCAAGCTTAAAAGAAAAAACAAAAACAATTACTACACAGGCAGGATGCTGCAATCTGTCATAAAAACACTGCATGCTGCCAGACTGAGTTACTGATTTATGCATTTAAAAAATGTCAAATAACACGATTATGTTTTAAGTGCCAAATTTTATAGTCAACTAATTTTTTCAAGAATAAATTTTGTGTCATTAATGGATAAATTTAACTGATCGGATCTTTTTTCTTAAAAGAAAACATGTTAAAACAATATTTTAAGTGGAAGTATCCAAATACTTTATTTTAATGTTTTTTTTTTTTTTTTTAAATCTCATTCTTTGAAACACTAGTATTTGCAAACACTTATATTTTATGAAAATTTACATAATTGTTAAATTCTACGATCACGCTGCAAAAAGTTATATCTGGTCAAAAAGCGTTTTTGGTTAGTGCGCACAACCCACATATGGAGGCCTTAGTACTCGACGGGGCCGACCCGGGTTCGAATCTGACCTGTGGTCCTTCCCGCATGTCTACCCCCCTCTCTCTACCCCCCTTCCTGTCAGCTTACTATCAAAAGAAACAAGCCACTAGTGCTGTAAAAAAAACAACTATTTTTTAAATCTAATTTTGAGGTTTTTTTTAAGCAAGAGCAAATTCTGTTACATTATTAATCTTATTTTTTAATAAAATTCTGCCCAGAATAATTCCTATAATCTGTCAGTGCAGTAAGACAGTTGCACTTATCAAAATGTTTTAAAATCATGATATATTCTCAGAGCAAGAAGTCTAGCACCATGTTTTTCTCCCACAATGTTTACATTTGATCACTGCAAATGGAAATGTCATGAGAGCTGTACAAAAATGAAATTTTCTAAAAGTTGTCTAAGTCTGTGAAAGTGCTGTTTTGCCACATGGGCAGATTAGTGCATCTATTTCTGGGTAAGATTTTCTTTAGATTATTTCTTAAAATTATTTATTTCACAGAATCTTGTTTTTAGTTTATTAAGCACAAACTTCCTCAGATTTTTTCACAGGTAAAAAGTAAAAGGTAGCCATCAAAGAAATTACTGAAGTAGTGTTTAAAAGCCTGCTTAAGTACTGAGTTACTGATCCACTGCCTATTAATGCACGGTAAAAAGTCTCATTTTAACGAGTCTTACAATCTTATATTCGGCAAATATGTTTTAGTGCTACTTTTACGGAAGAAAGTAAGAATTTCTGGGTTCTCTACAACCCTTAGTGAAAATATACAAGCCATTTCTCTAATGTCTCTACATTTGATATCTGTACCCTGCGAAAGTGTAAAGCCGAAATCAATTTCCTTTCTTTTTGCACGCACAGTTTTTAGCCAATAAAGCTGATTCTGTCGGCATGAGACGGCTGGTTCATAGAAGTCTGTGGAAATATAAGACGAGCCTTGGTGTTTTCAGTCGCCCTGTTTCTCTTTCTTTTTGATCATTCTTATCTGATGCTTCTGAGGTCTGCAGAGCTTTAGCTGTTTTTTCTGCACTGTAAATAAAAATAATGTGGTCATTTTCTGCCAGGACCTTTTCTGTTTTTTATGGATTTTTCTGTAAAAAAAAAAAAAAAAAAATCTGTTTCTTTACAGAATTTTGTTTTCTCTCAATGTTTCTCTAATGTAAATTACTCTAAAATGTTGCGCATTGTCATCAGTGAAGTTGACAGAACTCTCTTACCCAAACGGCTCTGAAAGATCTGTAAAAACAAATTATGGAAAAAGTCCTTCAAATAAAAACAAATACTTTATACTGTGAATTAATGGACATTTCTTACAGTGTGGCTTCTACTAAGGTCCTGGAGTAATCAAGAGAAATACATGTTTTAATAGGAGCACCAGGAATATTTTAAATGTATACTGAATGAGCGTATAGTGTGAGAACTGCTCTTCGTACTCTGGCTGCCTTGGTTGATTCTAAAAATAGTTCAATCTGAAAAACTCACACAGAGAGAAAAGATAATTAGAATAATTTATTGATAAGAAAGTATAGTCTTTGGCGCTCAGACCTCGGCAGGAACATTCATGCTGAATTATGCTTTAACATGCATGAGTAGATGAATGTGAATAGGGATGATCCCCCCGGGCCTGAAACTGGTGGTGGTTTAATCCGAGCTGGTTGACAAGGTGATCTGCTGGGCAGAATTGTGGGACTAGAAGACTGAGGGAGCTGACGCCGGGGC